GCCGAGCCCATTTCTAAATTTTATGTGACACTTTTTTAAAAGTAGGACTAAATCATAATTCAATACAACTGGTATTCTTTGTAATCTTACATTATTTATTTATTTATTTATTTATAGCGTTAAAAACATTATTCTGAGTAGAGATCGTCAGACTGCCAAAGGCTAGACAGACATGAGTACCAGGCCTACCTGGACCACGGTTCACTGTGTGACACTGCTTTTGTTATTTCTCTCAGGGGCATAATCATCCCTGCTTGGCTCACCCCACAGGGCTGTTAGGAGGAACAAATTAATTCTTGGCTGAGAAAAGGTTTTGGAAATTGTCAAAGGCTCTCAGTTTTGCCAAAAGCCAGGGCAGAGTGCTGCTTTCCTCCCAGCTAATCTCCAAGCCTCTAGCTAGGAGGCCTCTCTCCTTCCCAGAGGATTCCTCCCCCTTTCCTCTCCATCTGATAAATAAGGCCAAAGTGCACCTCCATTACTGTAGGCCTCCAGCTTCCTGTTTGCAGAGCTCCAGGGTCCAGGGGAGGAATTTTTTGGATCATAATATAACAATTCCCCCAGTTTTCATATTTGACCTTACAGTAACCCTTGGGGACACTTGCCCCTCAGAACCCTTCCTTGCTCCCTCCGATGGCACTCTCTATGTCCACAGTCCCTGCATGTCCCCTTTTACTAGCCTATCCTGTGATTGTGTGTCAGTCTGACTCTTCCATCATACTTTGTATTTCTAGGGGACAGACCCAGATCTGACCCCATGGGTGTGACATACACTAACATCTAAGGAACTGGCCTGGATGAAGACAAAAGAACCTGAAGCACAGAGAAAACGCAGGAAAGGGCAGAGCTAGGCTTGATCCAGATCCCCTGATACCTAGCATCCATTCCCCTCACACCCAAAGCAAGGGGCAGAGGAACTGGGGGGCACCCATGACATCACATCCACCACTTCCTACTCTATGCACTGAGAACTAAGGCCCTGCTGGGCTGTCTATCTTCTCAGACTATACTGGGGAAACCAAGGCTCTGGGAGCTCCTTCAGGCTGTGAGTCTCTGATCCTAGTGAGAACATAGCCCTTATAATCTGAAAATAATTTCTCAAAATGGACATTTCTTCTGGCTTTGCCTGTAGGTTACCAGGAAGGAGGCTGCCATCTGGGACAATTCACAGCCACATTGGCCTTGTTGTCCTAAGCCAGTAGCAGGGAGCATGAAATGTGAACATTATCATTGCAGGAGGTAGTTCTCAGGGAAAGGAAGAGACAGGCAAGGCAGCAGAAAATGAGACATTAAGAAGCCCACTGGGGCCCACAGCGGTGACTCACGCCTGTAATCACAGCACTCTGGAGGCTGAGGTGGGTGGACTGCCTGAGCTCACAGGTTCCAGACCAGCCTGAACCAGAGCAAGACCTTGTCTCTAAAAATAGCCAGGCCTTGCGGTTCGTGATTGTAGTCCCAGCTACTTGGGAGGCTGAGGCAAGAGAATCACTTGAGCACAAGAGTTTGAGGTTGCTGTGAGCTACGACGCACCGGCACTCTACCGAGGGAGACAAAGTGAAACTCTATCTCACATAAATAAATGCCCACCGGAAACGAGGCGCTGAGAAGCACGGGCTTCCAAGACAGACCTGGGTTAAAATCCCACGGGTACGAAGTCCGTGGAAATGACTTTCTCAGGTCCTCAGCTCCCATCTATAAAAGGGGTTTGAAAATCCGTGGCCCTATGGGTTACAGTGAAAATCATGAGAAATACGGCTCGACGCCTGTAGCTCAGCAGGTAGGGCGCCGGCCACAGACCCCAGCCCGGCCTGCTAAACAACAATGACAACTACAACCTAAAAATAACAGGGCGTTGTGCGGGCGCCTGTAGTCCCAGCTACTTGGGAGGCTGAGGCAAGAGAGTCGCTTAAGCCCAAGAGTTGGAGGGTGCTGCGAGCTGTGACGGCACAACGCTCTACGCAGGGTGACATAGTGAGACTCCGTCTCAAAAAAAAAAAAAAGAAAAAGAAAATTAAGCGTAGTAGTGTGCTAATCATCCCTGTATTGACCCTAGGGGCGTTATCTTTGTGTGGCCGCGGGCTGGTCACTTGCCTGGAACCCGGAACTCCCCAGAGAGTCCCAGCGCCCAGCACGTGCCCAGCTCGGGGCCCGCGAGGAGCCCCCGCCCTGGACCTCGAATTCGCGCCCGGCCGCGTCCCGTAGCGCGGCCCCCCGCGCCCTCGGGCAGAAAGCGGGAAGGCGGCGGCGGGCGGGGCGGCGAGCTGCCCGGTCGGTCCCGCGCCATCCCCCGCCGACCTCCACTCCCGCCCCCCTCCTCCCCTTCCCGCCGCCCCTCGTCCTCCCGGCCTCCCTCCCGCGTACCTGGTCGCCTCCAATCCTCGGGGGCTCCGGGACTTCACCGCTGCGTCTCGCGCTGGTCCTTCCCTGCCGCCCTCCCCTCGCGTCTCAGCTGGTCTCGGGCGCGCTCCGTCGCGGCGGCCCGTGGCTCCGCGGCCCTCCTGTCGCAGCCGTCTGGGGGCTCGCGGTGGCTGCGCAGGGCGCGATGAGCGGCGCCTGCACCGGCTACGTGAGCGCCGCGCAGGAGGAGGTGCGCGGCTTCAGCTGCCCGCCGCCCGGGGGTGAGGCGGCCGCCGTCTTCTGCTGCGGCTTCCGCGACCACAAGTACTGCTGCGACGACCCGCACAGCTTCTTCCCCTACGAGCACAGCTACATGTGGTGGCTCAGGTACCGGCCCTGGCCCTAAACCCACCTCGAACCTCACCCTCACCCCGGGCTCAGACTGAGCCCTCATCCAAGTTCCCGCGTCAACGTCAGCACCAGCCCCCCTTCCAGCCGTACCCCAATACTGTCCTTTCCTCTCACCCTGTCCCCAACCCAGCCGCCCCGCGATTTTCTGTCTCAGCTTGACGTCCTCATCCTGACCCCAACCTTTATTTAGATCCATGCTTGAACCCCAAAGCAACCCTCACTCTTGCCCTGCTCCGAACTTCATACCACCACCACTCTCAATACCAACCCTCCCCCAACAGCAAACTTGATCTTCAAACATTCTCCACCCAGTCCTCATCCAGGTGCCCACCAGGATCCCTTTCCTAATCCTTGTAGCAATATCAGCCTCATCCCTGACTCCCCAAGCACCGTTGAGTCCGGTCCTTATTCTATCCAAGTGCCCACCAGGGTCCCTTTCCTAATCTGTAGAGCAATGCCAGCCTCATCCCTGACTCTCCAAGCACCATTGAGCCCAGTCCTTATTCTATCACCAGTCCCAGCCGCCTCCTCAGTCCTGCCTACATTCCCACCTCAGCTCTGCTCCCACCTACTCACCCCAGCTATTTGTAACCACATGCCTCCAGGGATAGGACGATCACTATTCAGATGGCCTTCTCCATTTTCACAGGTGCCTGTTTCCCAGAGCAGGCTAAGGATCAGATCCCATACTCTGGGCGAAGCCTTTGGAGACTCAGAGGGATTGAGATCAATTGCCTCCTCAACCCAACACTCAGGTTCCAGGAATGTCCTAGACCTGTGTACAAATCTCAACCTCAGTCCTTAATTCTTGCCTGGTGCTGCACCCCACCCCCAGCCTCAACCAAACCTCAACCTTTTCCTTTCCTTTAATATTTAGTCATTCTTTTAGCTACTCTTTAGTGAGTAGCTCTTTACTCTTTGTGGCACTTAGTGTGTGCCCAGCCCCACAGTGAGTGCTGGGGATGTAGCCCACCACCCAAGCTAAGGCAGGAGGTCTGGAAATCAGAGCTACCTCCAAGTCATCATGAGACGCATAACACCACAGCAGCAGCCAGCTTGGGCGATATTAATAGAAGTATGGTTTGGGTGAATGTCCACCTGTAGGACCTCAGTTCCCTCATTTGTTCAGGGAAGGGGTTAGTTATGCAAGTTTTTACATTCCTGGAACCTGAGTGTTGGGTTGAGGGGGCAATTGGTCTCAATCCTTCTGGGTCTCCAAAGGCTTTGCCTGGAATATGGGATCTGATCTTTAGCCTGCTCTGGGAAACAGGCACCAGTGAAAATGGAGAAGGCCGTCTGAATAGTAATTGTCCTATTCCTGGAGGCATCTGAGCAGGGGCTCCATGCCCTCTGGGAGGGAAAGGACAGCATCCTATTCCCCTAAAATCTCTCTGAACCTCTGTTTTTTCATCTGCCAAATGAGGAGGATAACCAGTCATTGTCCTAGTTTTCGACTAAGGCAATAGCAAGGACCAAATGAGATAACAGAGGTGAAATCAACTTAATATATGTCATTGATAATTACAAACGTTGTTTTTTCAAGGCTGCTCTTACTGTAATTCTAAAAGATTTTCCGATGGCCAGGTTGTCAGATCCTGTGCATTTGGCTGCTGTTTATAACAGCATATTAATTTAGTTTCTGTTCATCCATACATTCATTCATTCCTTAGAGCTTTCTCAAAGAACCGGGAACACAAAAATCAATTATTCCCTCCCCCCAGGAGCTCACGGTCCACGTAGAGAGAGGCAACATGCACCTAAAGTAAAACGATGGAGTATCTTTTGAAGTGAGTAGTTAGCACTGAAATAAGGTGGTGGTACTGACCTCCCTTTTAGGTACGAGACAGTGTGGAGCTTTGCGGCTGGTCAGAACCTGTTTCAAACATTAGTTCTATCACTTATTATCTAAGCAGATTGAAAATTTATTTTATTTTAGTCTTTTCTTTTTCTTTTTTTGAGACAAGGTCTCAAGCTGTCACCCTGGCTAGAGTGCTGTGGTGTCATAGCTCACAGCAACCTCCAACTCCGGCTCAAGCGATCCTCTTGCCTCAGTTTTTCTATTTTTAGTAGAGACAGGCATCTCGCTTGTGCTCAGGCTGGTCCTCAACTTGGGTGCTCAAGCAATCAATCCACCCTCCTCGGCCCCCCAGAGTGCTAGGATTGCAAGCAAGAGCCACAGCAGCCAGCCCTGAAAGTTATTTATTCTCCTAGTCTCTTTTCTTGGCTTTAACATGGCAATAGGAATATCTGTCTTGTGACTTGTTACAAGGAATGCATGAAATAATACACATGAAGATGACCTGTGTATATGGTAAGTGCTCCATGAAATTCTTTTCTTGGTTCAAAGCCGTGGGAGGTGTAGCTCAGAGTATGCAAGTGAATTGACCAAGATCTATCAACATCATAACAGAGAGAGATTTAAAGATCCTTACTTAGGACATCTAAGGACTTTCACACATTCACAACCCTGGCCTGTCTCCTCTACCTTATACAGATAAGAAAACCTGAGAGAGGTGAAGGTACTCTCTGTGAGTGCCCCAGTGAGGAGATAACAGAGCTGGGATGAAAACTCAGGCCTGTCTGGCCCCAAGCCTAGGCTTATCCTTGTCCATGACTGCCTAAATCTAGCCTGGCTCTTATATCCTGATCTACTCAGATCATTTGAAAAACATTCACTAGCCTTCTACTGTCTTCTGGGCACTGTGATGACCCCTGGGGACACAGGGATGAGTAATCTCCTCAGCACCCAGCCAGGACTCCTTTCCTCTGTCACCGCCTTCTTCCTTAGGCACCTCTTGTGGTCCCTCCTGTTGCCCCGGAAACCATCTGATGTGGAGTGCTTTTGTGGCGCAGACAGTGCTTTAGTGAAGGGTTAAATGGGGTGATCTCTGAGTTCACATCTCATGTCATTGTGCTCCATTCTGTGACCCCAAGAGCAGCTGAAAGGTTCTAGAGTAATGTCCTAGACTTGGACATCACATGGCTCATAAACATCACGGATAAACGCAAAGTAGCAGGGGGGAACTGAGGGTCCTCAGCATGTCTAGGTGATCTGTGTGCTACGAACCCTGTCACAACTCTTCCAGCGTTCTCCGAACAGACCCCCAGCATTGCAGGGTGGAGACCTTGTTTTGCTCTACATTTTATTTGGCCCTTTTTGTGAAAAATCAGTTCTTACAAACATACAAATCTCCAGGTAAGCAGTGTTTCCTTGGAGAGACAGAGCCCCAGAAGAATTGCTGCCTGTAAAATTGTGTCTCAGGAAGCGATGACACCCTGTGGAGAAGCAGCTGGTTCTAGCACACCGTCTGGTGCTTGCCAAACACCCTCCATCTCTAGTTCTGTTTTTCACCAGGATTGAGCTTTGCTGGAGGGCAGAGTGGTGGTCAGGCATTGTCTATAACAGCTTAGTTCATTCTTATGGCCACCGAGTGAGATAGGAACCTTTACAAATGAAGATCAGAGAGGTAAGGTGATTTTTTTAAGCTTAAATGTGGCAGAACCAGGATTTGGGTTTAGAACTACCTGACACGCAAGCCCTTCTTTGCTAGGCTGTCCCTCCCATGCTTTCTCAGGGAATCACAGTGGGTTTTTATTTTTCAATCAAAACAATGAAATCCTAGAAGGAAAGAGACTCTCTAAGGGAATTTCCCATCTTTATCTTTACTGAACGGTCTACTTACTCTTCCTGTGTCCTGAGCAAACTTCCCCCATGATGGGGAACTTATCTGTTCTTGAGGCAGTACGTTCACCATGGGTCGCCTCTGATCACTTAAAGCTCATCCTATGAGATGTGTTTCTAAACACAGATTTTCCTTCCTTGGAGCCTACCCTGTTGTTCCCAGCTCTGTCCGCAAATAGGTCAGCAGAGACAATGCCTGCTCCTTGACCTCCGATGTGGGACATATACCCCCAGCTCTCTCACCTATTCCTCAAAGGGCCCCTTTAGAGGTCCTTTTGCATCCAGGTGCCCACATTTGTCCCTCATACAGAGTGGGGGTCCCAGTCTAAGCACAAGTCTCCCAGATAGCCCTATGAACAAGATGTATATCCCAACTGAGAAAACAATATTTAATTAGAATGATTATAAGAACTAAGAAATAGAGTGGTGCCTGTGGCTCAAGGAGTAGGGTGCTGGCCCCATATATGGGAGGTGGCAGGTTCAAACCCAGCCCCGGCCAAAAACTGCAAAAAAAAAAAAAAAACAACTAAGAAATAGTACATATTCAGTGTGGAAAGTTTGAAAAGGACAGAAGAAACAAAAACAGAAAGAAATCTTGGGTAATCTGGTGTCCCAGTTTGGATTTCTGAAATACTCTGAGACAAGGATTTGATAGCAAGTAGTTTATGTGGGAAGCAATCCCTGAAAATCTGGGTAGAGGGTGGGGAAGTAAGACGAGGAAGGGAAGAAGCCAACAGTGGGTGTTATCAAGCAAGTCACACCAAGGGTAAGTGGAGCCTAAACTCTGCCAGCCAGTGCAGAATGTACACCTTAGGGCAGGGGTCCTCAAACTTTTTAAACTGGGGGCCAGTTCACTGTCCCTCAGACCGCTGGAGGGCCGGACTGCGGACCCCGGACGAGTGGGCTGCTAAGCAGGACAGGCAGCTGCGGCAAAAACACCCTGGGGGGCTGGCTGGATGTCGCCCGCAGGCCGTAGTTTGACGGCACCTGCCGTAGGGTCATCCTACCTGCTCCATGTGAGCATCTACATGCCAGTTTCCGTCATTGGGTGTGGGCTGGTGGGAGAAGGGAGGTGTTAATTATCTGCCCTTCTGACCTGCGACATGCAGACAGAGCTTGTTGTAGCCCAAGAAAGCCCTCAGGCAAAGAGCAGTGGAAACTCTGGCCAGAATATTCCACAATGATAAGACCAAGGGGACCCTGACAGGCCATCTACAGGCTGCACTGCACCCAGGCACAGCCCGCTAGCAGTTTGGTGTATCTCTATCCAGCCATACGTCTGTACGATTGTGTATGTATTTATATTTATTCAGTAAAGTTGGGGTTATGCTATGTGTTTAGTAGTGTGTCCTGCTCTGTCTGTACGATTATGTCTGTACGATTATGTATGTATTTATATTTATTCAGTAAAGTTGGGGTTATGCTATATATTTAGTAGTGTGTCCTGCTCTTTTCATTTAACATTATCTCATAAAAATTTATCCTTAATCTTAAATATTATTTGAAGTCATCTATATCATTATGAACTCTTCATAGACTCTGTAGCAGTGGTCCCCATCCTTTTTGGCACCAGGTAGCAGTTTCTTTTTCTTTTTTTTTTTCTGAGACAGAGTCTCACTTTGTCGCCCTTGGTAGAGTGCTGTGGTGTGACAGCTCACAGCAACCTCAAACTCTTGGGCTCAAGTGATTCTCTTGCCTCAGCCTCCCAAGTAGCTGGGACTACAGGTATCCACCATAATGCCTGGTTATTATTTTTTTGTTGTGGTTGTCATTGTTTAGCAAGCACAGGCTGCGTTTGAATCTACCTGCCTCAGTGTATATGGCCAGTGCCCTAACTATAGGCGCCAAGCCCAGGTACCAGTTTCATGAAAGACAATTTCCCATGGACAAGGGAGTAGGAGGGAATGGTTTGGGGACGATTCAAGCACATCACATCTCCACTTCAGATCATCAGGCATCAGGTTCTCATAAGGAGCACACAACCTGGATCCCTCACATAGGCAGTTTACTGTAAGGTTCGTGCTCCTGTAAGAATCTAACGCTGCTACTGATCTGACAGGT